AAAAATAGTGGAGCGTTTCTTTAAAATGCTGCATGTTGGTTCAACAGAAATTCGTTTTTGTAATTCAAAGCAAAAAATAGTAATAGGACACGAAAGGGGAATAAATACAGAATTTTTATTCTAAAACTATTGTGTTAGTATCATGAAATGATGACTGAAATTTGATTGTATATGGAATGTGTGTGTGTGTACATTTCTACTAGTTCTATCCATAACCCTATTGTTCATATAGCTGACATGGAAATAACCTGCGGTTGGTGTGTGAATGAATAATAGTTTCTGAATTCACCAGCCCAGACCAAAGTTTGCTTGTGTTTCTGTAAATAAAGCACTCTGGAACACTGAGTTCAGGAAGTTATTTCATTCTGCTTGTTACTGGCTTGTTTTTGTCTGGGTGTTCAGTCACATGGTGGGATGTTGGAAAAAACGTTTAAAACGTTTTAGACACAATTTCAAACCATTTTTATACTGTTAACTGGTTCGAGTTGTTATATCAGTTTAACCATGTAAAGCCAGACAAATAACCCTAAGAACAAATTTGATTTTTTTTTTTTTTAATGGAACAGTTTATTGAACCTTCATACAAAATCTTAAAAAATATATTTTGTTGAGTATCACATTTAATGCATCAGGCTTTTATGGTTCATACAGTGTGATATAGTAGAATATGATGCTCATACTCGATAAGGAAAAACATCGGTATTATGACTTTATGATTTAGAGATGAACTAATAAACATTCCTCAAAAGCCTGATGTGTGACATTTAATATCTGATTTTCTAAATAATGATACATGTATAATTCCGTAAACCTAAGTTGATTCAGTCCCGTAGTTGTTCATCTTAAAATATAACAATATATCAACAGAAGGCCTGCAGTAGATTGTGTACATGTTTTTTTTATGTTGATAATTTAGAGGCCCAAGAAATATGATACCGCACACAAGATGATTTTATTATAGCACTTTTGTTCTGTTGTCTTTCTGCAATGAGCTGTTGTTTGAGATGTACAGTAAGGTCAGCAGAAGGCCAGAGCTAATGGGGTACAATATTTGGCCATTTCATTTGATGTCACACTGCCTCCCTGTGTTCAAACACCTACAGCTCTTATATTCAACACAGTTTGGGTTCTCAAACTTTTTGATTTGAAGCAAGGAAGCTACCTTAATTCATTTGAAAGGTTTCATTAATTAACCATGTTTCAGTTGGTGATTCCAGAAGTTATGTTCTATATCGATATTACCTTTATTGAAGTATGTTCTTCAATGTAAACAATAGTTATTGAGGGAAAATAAAAAGAAATGTGATTTCAGTTTGATTTTGGGATTAGATGTTGATTCTTTTAATATATATTAAAATACTTTAATAAGTCATCCTCTAGCCCCTGGGAAGTTTGCTGAGGCCTCCTAGTGGACCCCGGCCCCACAAAACTGAAAAAGCAGAGCAACAGGAACGTTTATCATTTGTAGCGCCTGTCACCAATCCACCGTTTGGATTGTTCTGCCCCAAATAAGACAGTGTGGAAGCAGCAGTAACACGTTCCACATTGACTTGTTTGGCCACTCAAGTGAAGTGCATGACCACGAGGCCTGTACTGGAGTTTGCTCTGTATATTATTTTTCTCACCTTTGGATCAGAGGTTAAAATGGTTCAATGTTTCCATTCCAATCATCTGCACTCTCTGAGTCTTCTCTGTTGCCGTCTGTCCGTTTCATTTGGTCTCAGTTGTCATGTTTCCATTTCACTATGGAGGCAAGAAATGATTAGGTGTTTGTTTTGAAAAGTGAGCTTGTCTGATTGAAAGTGGTTATCCAAAGCATATATATATATATATATATATATATAGGTCTACCTATGAATGCCATATATAGTAGGATACGCTGATATTAGTTGATTAGTTGAAGCAACTAACTTCAACTAGTTGCCCAAAATCCATCGGAAACATCTTCAGATGCTATTTTTAGGGTGTTCTTATGCATTTTCTGATCTGCCATGAGAAATTACATCCCTGTGCATGTGTTTTGTACTAAAGTTTGATATGCATGTTATTTATCTGTATATTATTTCTCACCTTTGGATCACGTTAAAATGATTCAAGGTTTCAATTTGGATCATCTGCACTCCTGGTGTCCTTACTGCTGCTGACTGTCCTCAATATTGTGACTTCCCTTCATTTCGTGGGTTTATGTTTTGTTTTTGAGATACCTTCAATTTTTGGCCAAAAAAAAGAAATGGTGTTATTTGTTTGGTTTCCATTCCGTGACGCTAGTTTAAAAGTGAGTTTCGCCGTCTGATGGTTGGTAACAATAGCATCGAGGGAAAATAAATACCTATGAATACGAGTCTATCAGTAGCAAAATATCTAATATTAATCAGAAACATCTCCAGATGCTCCTTCAAGGGCGGTTGAGTTGTTTTTCTGATCTGCGGTGAAGAATGAAGCACAAGCCAATTTAGATATTTCCATTAGAAGTGTCTATGTGCTAGTCGTTTTTGTATTTACAGAGGAAACTCCAGTAAACCCAACTACATGGTCGTGTTCATTTCCTCCACCCGAGATGCAGCCGAACAAATCTTTGGAAAATACTAGACAGACAATGCATGTCGCTTATTAATAAACATTACACAACCCTAGTAATAATTAATTTACATATTTTCTAGAAACAAATGCAGTCATAAACAGATATACAGTGGTGTGAAAAAGTGTTGGCCCCCTTCCTGATTTCTTAGTTTTTTGCATGTTTGTCACACTTTAATGTTTCAGATCATCAAACAAATTTAAATATTAGTCAAAGATAACACAAGTAAACACAACATGCAGTTTTTAAATTAAGGTTTTTATTATTAAGGGAAAACAAAATCCAAAACTATATGGCCCTGTGTGAAGAAGTGTTTGCCCCCCTGTTAAAACTGTGGTTTATCACACCTGAGTTCAATTTCTCTAGCCACACCCAGGCCTGATTACTGCCACACCTGTTCGCAATCAAGAAATCTCTTAAATAGGACCTGCCTGACAAAGTGAAGTAGACCAAAAGATCCTCAAAAGCTAGACATCATGCAGAGATCCAAAGAAATTCAGAAACAAATGAGAAAAAGTAATTGAGATCTATCAGTCTGGAAAAGGTTATAAAGCCATTTCTAAAGCTTTGGGACTCCAGCGAACCACAGTGAGAGCCATTATTCACAAATGGCAAAAACATGGAACAGCGGAGAACCTTCCCAGGAGTGGCCGGCCGACCAAAACTACCCCAAGAACACAGCGACGACTCATCCAAGAGGTCACAAAACACACTTTGACAATTCCTGACCTATGGAATTACCGGTATGTAATGAAATGGGGGATATAAATAAGGATATTCAGCATGAGAGGGACTCGCTGTGGTTGTTCGCTTTCTCATTTAAAATGACCGTGGTTTTTCTGCACAGGTTCTGCTTCGGACATCATGAATAAATTAGAACACTGTATTCAGGCAACCGCAAACAAAACACACAGCGAGCTTTACACTGAGGAAGTATTTACTGCAGCTACTTTACGAGACTGATTGCAGATTAATAATAATATACTAATTCATTTTGTAATTTGTTACACTCTTTTTGCTTGGACTGTTATTTCTCACGTAATATTTTTCTTGGAAAAAATATTGAAAATAATTTCAACTCAAATCAATATTTCATGTTATTATTTCAATATTTCCGTGTATTTTCACGTCCATATATTTATAATATATGTATCCATGCATACTTCTGTTGGAGTAAATGTCACCAAAAGACCAAATTTACTTTTATTTTAGATATTTAGGTGAAACTTCATTCATTCTAAAAAAATATTTTTCCAAATTCCAGTGATGAAGATTAATAGACACGTGACATTTGACCCAATGAATGAATGAAAAGGAGTAAAAACTGTAAAAATAATTATCAATCAAACATACCAAGTGCTCGGTCCCTAAATGTGTCCTGAATTTTGACGGTTTCATACTGTTGATAACTCGCTGCACAAAACGCATTGTGGTTGACGCAAATCAAGTTCAAACTTGTTGCCTGTGAACCTGAATTTAATGTAGCATGGATTGCGTTTTCTTTTACTTTGTGTAGTTTTGGTACTAGTTTTCAAGGATGAGGTCATGCCCTTGTTGATATCATTCTAATTCGACTAGCTTTTAAATTGTGACAATTTGGCGCCAAAAACCTTTTTCTCCTCACTTTCAAAAGGTAATAAAGCCTATTTGATTTGACATCCTAACACTGCATAATTAGATCAAAAGCACTGTTGTGGGAGAGTTAATGCAGAAACTGAATATATTAAATTCATATACTCATCTAAACACCTCTAATTTACTGTTATTCAGAAAACATTCAAAGTAGTCACTGAAGGCTAATATGTAAAAACTTTCAATTCAAATGGTCCCAAACGCATACCAAAACTACCATTCAGTACTTGAAAGACAACCTTTTAAAGCTCTTAAAAGGTTGGTGAATATTAGCCGATGAACAATAGAAGCAGATGTGGACAGGGACACAAACTCAGAAACATCTGGATTCCAGATGAAGACCAGAACCTTCACATTCCACAAGCTGAACCCATAAAACACACGCAGACACAAGTGTACTCCAAGCATGTCACAATAAAACTATATTTATAAATTAAAAAAAAGAAATCTCCTTAACATGGTACTTCAAAAATTCTCCCAATACAATATTGCTGACAAACACTGAAAAATATATTCTCAGTAAAAACAAGTTCCATGAATAATGAAATATCTGCACGAGACATTTACTGAGAGTAAAAAATTTAAAAAGGGCAAAAAAAAAAAAAAAAAGAGTTAAGAACCGCCAAATACGCTCTAAACGAGGGCAACAGAAATTTGGAAATTTGACATTTACGTCCTTGGTTGGACTACATTCACCTTGAATCCTCACACCCATATAGTGTTGTAACTAAATCCCATTCAATTATTGCTATTTCTCTCAAAATCTCTCTTTTTTTGTCCCATCGTTCCATTTTCTCCAACAGCACATTTCCCAAATATTTTGAGGTGATATTGTAGATTTAGTAAAACGTCTTAATCGGTTATTGTAAGCATGAATTCTTTGCTTATGCTTTAGTAGACTAATTTCTAAGATCTAAGTGATGTTGGGGCTCACAAGCTACTGAATTTTAGGTCAGCACTAATCCTAATTCTAATTGGCTGCACTAGGCCGCCACGTTTTTGTTTGTAATTCATAAGGCAAAAAACAGTTTGGGCACTTCTGCTCGCAACAGTCACATGATGTCGACGAAGAACTCCCCATTGGCTGTGTTGCACGAGCGTCGTGAGCCCGTGAGTTCAGGGGGGATGCTGGCGAGGAAGCGGCCGGATGGCGATCCCGGGCCGGCTCGTGCAGATCCCTGCTTCAGGCTGTAGCTGTGAGATCGTGAGCTGCGCACGCTGCCCTCGCTGGGCGGCACCGAGCGCTCGCTGGGGGCTCTGTCTCTGCGGAAGTCAAAGTCATGAGCGTCGACCATTTCGCTTCCTCCTCCTAACCTGAAGTCTCCAGCCGGGGTTTTCCCCTCAGTCCTGCTCCAGCTGCAGTTTGAACCGCTGCTCCCTACGGACAGCAATGTTAACGTGAGTGAGCCGCTGTTTGAGATTGTGAGCATTAGGGCTGCCCCCTAATAGTCGACTAACCGTTAATCGACCAGAAGAGGCTTGGTCGACCAAAATTTTATTAGTTGCTTAGTCTAATCAATTTTTTTTTTAAAAGTCATGCAGTCCATGACGGACAGATTGTTAACGGCTTGGTCTATGGTACAGAACATTGAGCAGGACGCTCGCGTATCATTCATCGACCTCAAATATGGCTTATCATCTGAAATACGTACGTATTAGCAACTTTACATGGCCGCTCAATCTAATGTTAACCTAGAGAAATGTGCACCGTTCAAGTGTCTGTGCGGAGTGTGTTAGCTGAACAGTAGCTCACTGCAGGACAGATGGAGGCCCCAGTGTGCTCACTTGCTCTTAAAATACTCCTTCATACAGATAAGAGTAATACATCTTTCGAATCTGTAAAGACTCTACGTTTAGTTGTGTGCACTCACATGAACAACAACAAAAATCGCGCTTTTGTAAAATAATGAAAGCACAGGATGCGCTTTCTGCCGTCTTGGTCTCGGTGAACTTGAGCGCGAAACTCCGAAACTCTGTGTATACTTGCCTTACAGACATGAAAAATATATCTATAGAGCGTCTACTTTCAAATGAACCAATTCAAATGGAAAACAAATATTCTTAGATTATGTAATCCATATGAAACATGCATACAGGCGCATCCACTACTGCGGAGAGGACGAGTCAGCGTCGCCGACTTCATCTCTTAAACCGAAAGCACTAGTTTATCAAAAAATTATTAAAATGTTAATGCAGCCTCCTTACTGTTTTTCACTGATACATTCATAATCCTTACTTCTGCCGGTGTGCTGTGGCAAGCTTTATGCTTATTAGGCGAGGCAATTAAAGGCGCATTATAATGATTTAAATGGTTTATTAATAAATGTGCGATTAGTCAATTAATGCTTAAAATGAACGACTACTAGTCGACCAGAAAAATCAGTAGTCGAGGGCAGCCCTAGTCAGCAGTGTGATTTGAGGTGACTCACCTTCGCTGTGTTGGCTGCCCGCGCTGCCTCCACCGGCTTCAGAGTAGCTGTGAGCTGCATCCGGGAGGGAATGGGCTGGTGGGTACTGGTAAGGGAATGCGGCGGGCCAGGGAGCTTCAGCAGGGTGAAGCAATGGAGCGAGAGTGTCCTGATCAGACGCGCCGCTGGATCCGTCATGGTCATGCAGAGAGAGATGGGCCATGTCTACAATAAAACACAGCCATTTTGATAAGAGTGACAGCACAATGTAAAACAGAATGTACAGTGACTAACGTTAATTTTGTTAACGAAAACTGTGATGAAAAATATTTGTTGACGACAACCTTTTTTTCCATGACTAAGTTGATATGACACTGACATCATCAGAAAATGTGACTACATTAACTTGCAATATCATTGAGATGTCAAGAAATCCCCCTATCAGAGCTTCTCTCTTAAAAAGGACACATTTTCTTCCCTGTGTTTTACTTTATCTTTGCAATCTGGCAACCATGTGCATGAATTCTCTCTTACACTATGGAAAAGCATTGATTATCTGAAAACATAGACAAACATGCAAGTTAGAATTTAACAAATATTTGAATAGAATATTCTGCCCAAATACAGCCAGTTTGTGTTCTTTTACACTGTTGCTTGCGCTGTTTGCTGTGACTGCCATCAAGCCTGGTCAGTGATGAACTGTGAAAAAAACCCAAACACGATCTCGACTATATTGTTAGCGATGGAGGTTGCTGAATAAAAATTACAAAAAAAACTCTATGCCACAAAACAAAATCATCTTGTTGTTTTAATAGAAAGACATGAATACAATTTGGAATTATTGTCAGTGTTTTAACTTTTGAGAGAAGCTTTAGAGTTTTACCAGTTCTCATAATGTAGAGAGCGTGTTTATATTAATGACTATATAATAAACTAGATGAGGTAAAACAAACCATGTGTATGCATAAAGTTGAAAGCACAATAATTCTGATGTACTTTATCAAATGACAACAACCATGATCAGCAATCACAATTATAATGTTAAGCAAAATAATTGTGATTATCAGTTTAACCATTATGCAGCATGACAACTAAAACTGGATTAAAGCTCCCAGACTTTTAGTCAACCAAAACTTGACTAAACAAAAAACAGGACAGATTGACGAAATATGTTAAAAACTAAAAAAAAAAAAAATTCACTGCAAGATCAAGTTATGACATAAAAAAAAGAAAGAAAATATATATATACATACATGGATGGATCAACTAACACTAAGATCAATAACATGCATTTTAAAAAAAAACATGAATTTTCATTTTACACAGCTCTCTATATCTCTGTAATCTCTCTATATCCCTCTGCTCCAGCAGCCTGTCATTCAAATAAGATCACAGCAATTAGCAAACTGTGATTGAAATATCCAATCAATTCTTAATGGACAAAATCAATTCACTCCAACATTCCTTCTCATTCTTAATTTTTTCACTCAGATAACCATTTCATGCAGGGATGATATGACAATAAAAAACTCGGTTTCATGTTGACTAAGATAATATACAGGTAACATTATAAATGTTAACTGATACAAACGATCATTTAAAAACACCTTAAGTCATTTTAAGCACTAAAAAGCGTGTCTTGACCTATAAAAGCATTGGCTATAGTGATCTTCAGCCACATTCTGTCTCGAACTTCCAGTCCTGAGTCTGGACAGGCCATTGCTTTTGCAACTGTTGCCATGTCGCTGTGGACGGACAGGTGGTAGTCATCAAATCCTGCGAGAAGAACAACACACAGTTTACAAAAGCACAAAACACAAAGCATCTGCCTGGTGGCGAGAAACCAGGACCTCCCATGTTCCATATCTAAATATGACTCAAGTCCTCTCAATCTAAGTCACTAGGATTTTTTTCACCCATTTTGTCATTTGCCAGGTCAACTAAGTCTGATCACTTGGAAAAATGAATAGAACGACTTTCCTTAACAAGCCCCATGATTTAAAGGGATAGATCACCCAAAAATGAAAATGTGATGTTTATCTGCTTACCCCCAGGGCATCCAAGATGTAGGTGACTTTGTTTCTTCAGTAGAACACAAACGAAGATTTTTAACTCAAACCGTTGCAGTCTGTCAGTCTTATAATGTCAGTGGATAGGAATCACGGCTTTGAGAGTCAAAAAAAACATACACAAACAAAACCAAATTAAACCCTGCAGCTCGTGACGATACATTGATGTGTAAAGACACAAAACGATCTGTCTGTGCAAGAAACTGAACAGTAATTCTATCGTTTTTTTACCTCTGATTCATGCAATGTCCGAACTGTCCTGAGCGCGTCCTCGACAACCGTCGCCTGACTCGTCGTCGTCGTCTTCTTCTTCTTCTTCTTGCTTTACGGCGGATCGCAGACTTATAAGTGCATTATCGCCACCTATCTCTCAAATGAACCACTGACTCTATGTACAATCTCAATTAGGAGTGTCAATGGTCCATTTGAGAGATAGGTGGCGGTAATGCACTTATAAGTCTGCGATCCGCCGTAAAGCAAGAAGAAGAAGACGACGCGCGTCAAGCGCAGTGCATCAGAGGTAAAAAACGATATAAATACTGTTCAGTTTCTTGCACAGACCGATCTTTCGTGTCACGAGCCGCAGGGTTTCATTTGGTTTTGTTTGTGTATGTTTTATTGACTCTCAAAGCCGTGATTCCCATTCACTTCCATTATATGACTGACAGACTGCAACGGTTCGAGTTAAAAATCTTCGTTTGTGTTCTACTGAAGAAAAATAGTCACCTACATCTTGGATGCCCTGGGGGTAAGCAGATAAACATCAAATTTTAATTTCTGGGTGAACTATCCCTTTAAGGGAGCATTCTTGTCTATAACACAACTGTTGTGGGATGAATTTAGGGGTCAAAATTGAGCCATAGCAAAGAAATGTAAAATCGTGTGCCATAACGTGGCAACATGAATGAAGAGCAGATATCTTACTCTCTGTTTCTGGGATGGAGCTGGAGATGGAAGAGCTGGTGGAGGTGACCGTGCTCATTGAAGGACTCATGCCGTAGGGAGGATAAACACCCGTCATGGCTGCCGTATGGGACACCCAGGCTGCAGGGTCAATGGGCCGGATGGGCTCACCTGGGACAGAAGGCAACCAGTACTCAACAAAGCAGTACAGAACAGGTGAGTTTGAGTTTTCACCGCAACAAGTTTACAAGGCTTCATTAGAAATCAAGATGAACAATGACAGAGAACTATCTAAACCTTAGTATGTAGTCATTTATTTCTTTCTCCAAAGAAAAAAAAAAAAAAACGTACTGTCTCTGCTGACGATAGTTTATCTTATGTTGCATTTAATATGCAAATGAGTGTGTGAGAGGGGAAAAAATTAACACTCACTCCTTGGCAAAGCAAAGCAACTGTTTGGGTTTGGGTCCCAGCATTTGGCCACAGTAAGCGACACGGGTCTGCAAAAAAACAAAATTGGTGCAGCTGTTAACAAACTTTTGTTGATAAGCTAAACACATCCCATATAAAATGAATGTTTTGTAATATGACTCACCCAGGCTTATGCACGATCTCCCTCAGCACTCGTACTGCATCATCGTTGCACATGTTCTCAAAGTTGATGTCATTCACCTGTGAGAAAAAACAGAAATCTGAACTGATACAACCAGCGTCTGTGTCAGATTCCTATCCTGAACACGTCCTCATCCAGTCCTCACCTGCAGCAGCATGTCACCGGGCTCGATCCGCCCATCGGCCGCCACCGCTCCGCCCTTCATTATGGAGCCGATGTAGATGCCTCCATCACCGCGCTCGTTACTCTGACCGACGATACTGATGCCCAGGAAGTTATACTTCTCTAAATGAGGTAAAGCAAGAGAGACTTATGGCAAATAGTGGACTTTAATAATATTTAGCTTTGTACATCTATAATATCATCCTTAGTTCTTATATCAGAAAAAAAAGAAGATAATATGTGCCTTTAATAATTTAATTATACAGCACCAATTTAATTAAAGCAATAAGGCACTCACGGCTGTATTTTATTGTTCATATAATCAGAGTTTCATTCAAAAGCAACAAATAAAACCGTGTAATGCTGACTCACCCATATTTAAAGTGACAGTGATGATATTCAGCGACATAGTGGAGTCAGTGATGCTACTGAAAGATGAAGACTGAAGAAAGAAAGACAAAGATCGTTTTAAAACTTATAGTATTAGACACTTAAAGAGCTCTGCCTGCTGTCTCACCCTCTCCATTTGCTGGGCTTTGGGTCTGCGTCTCCGCCGGCGGTGTCGTCTCATTAGCCTGGACGAGCCGCTTTGCTCCGTAACACTGCTGAAACTGCAGAACGGATGTCACAATATGGTGATTACATGAGCTTCCCATTTCAGTTTGTTCTGAGTTACAGGCAATGCGAAACATTATTGATCACTAGGGATAAGAATCAGAAAGAATTAATAGAGATAGTTCACCCAAAAATGAAGATTGTGTCACCCTCATGTTGTAACTATCCCATAATATGAAGATATTTTTAATGAAATCAGAGACTTCTGTCACTCCACTGAAAGATTTAACTCCCCCAAAACTTTGACGTTTCCATATGAATCGAGCAGTTTAACTTTTCTTAAGAGGAATGATTGATTTGTGAAAAACAGATATAATGATGCTGCTGTTTTTCAATGGAGAGTGAAATCTCTCAGATTTCATAAAAAATATAGAAGATGAACAAACGTCATACAAGTTTGGAATGACATACGAGTGAGTAAATGATGATCGAATTTTTATTTTTGGATCACTTTAACAGCTCTGAGTCAGCTTTCTTTTTCCATGTAATGACTTTCAGTACTTTTCAGGGAGCATCCAATAAATGTATAATATACAAAAATACTAAACCAATACCGAAACAAATTAGGGCTGCATTATAAATTGTATTTTAATCGTGGTCACGATTTATGCTTCTCTCAGTTTGTTATATTTGCCCACCGGTTGTCTATCCTGCAAATGTTACATTTTAATTTGGCATAATCTTGCATTGGTTACAAGCCTCCACAAGCTTTTATGGTTGCCAGATGTCAAGAGTTTAAATCCCCAAACAGAGCTTTTCTCTTAGGGGTTGTTTACATGACAACATTTTCAGCCAAAAACTGGAAACTTTTTATACGTTTTGCCTGTTCATTTACACAACAACGGCGTTTTGGGGACTGAAAATGCATATTTTTGAAAACGGGTTTCAAAGTGCAAGTTTTTCGAAAACGCCACCGTTATCGTTTCCGTGCAAACACCCAATACGGTAATCTTTGAAAACGGTGACGTCATGCACGTGCGCATTACCCGTTAGGTATGTAGACATGCGCAGTACGTGTCGATTTTAAAGGCAAGCGCGAACAAACATATACAACAATGGCGGAGTACATGGTACTGTTGTTGCTGCTCAGGAGTTTGCTTAACGCTTCAGCAAAGTGTGGATTTACTTCACCAATATTACAACCAACAGCGGAGACACATCATATACAACATATAATCGTCACTTCCCTACAGGTACGGTTTACTAACAAGGTGACAGCACCAACTACTGGCCTGGCATACGTAATACAGCGTTTTTGCCCGTTTTCGCGGATGTGTGTAAACGCGAATCGTTTTGAAAACGTTGTCGTGTATACGTGAAACTTTTTAAAAACGCAAGGGAAAAACTTAGTCTTTGTCGTGTAAACGTAGCCTTAAACGGATACATTTTCTGCCCACACATTCTATACTACTGAAAAACCGCTGAGAAGCTGAAAACACAGGCAAACAAATAAGTTGGAGTTTAGCGATCTTTACTGAGATATTCTGCTTAAACAAAAGTGCAATACAGCAAGTCTATGTTCTTTCATGAGACCATTTGCTGTGAAATCCGCAAAGCGTGCGAGTTGACTTTTTCGGTTGATATTCAATAAAATATTCAATTTTAGCATTTCCTAATCTTGTCTAATTATTGTTAAAAAGCACATCTCCTACCATAAAATGACCAACCCTAACAAAATAGCATTCCCAACCCTATCAATAACATTGATATACATATTTAAAAAAATGTCTAAAATCTCCACAAACTATGATTACCCACACCTGCTTGTCAAATTGCTCAAGTCAGAGCTCTGAAAAACCTCACTAAACCACTGGGGCTTGCCGTGATTGTAATCATATTGAGCGCACCGGTTTAAGAACGAGACTCACCGGCTGGTGGAGCCGTCATCCGAGTCGAAACAGCTGCTTGATTCCAGTTCACTGCTCATGAGGGAAGAACGGCTGTCACAGATGTCATAACCTCCCAGTTCCATGCCTCTGCCGCCCCGTGAGTAGCCATTCTGCCTTCCTCCTAGATGAATTACCACTGATATTAATGCTTAGTTGTTCCAAATATGAACTATTCTTAATTTTAAATATGAACCTTTTACTGATAAAACACCATGGCATCGTAAGACATGCACAGTGAGATGAGTGTTGATCCAAAAATATCCCACATTACAGAACGTATCTCACGGTCACGTGAAGCTCTGCTCATGTTCTTGAATACTGCCTGGATCACTGGCAGTTCATCTAAAATTCCAGTCACGTTCTTCTCTTCTCTTATTGGTGTGAGGAAATCGGAAGGCCATTTGTACTTATCCCAAAACTGCTTTGTTTAAATGGTAATATATTAATCGTGTGTTTGTTCGTGCATATGCTGTCATTCAGAATGAAAAAGATGTTCTTTGTGGTTGCATGCCATTTAAATATAAACGAGTCGCTCATAAGACAAAGCTTATGCAGCATACCAAAGTCTTTGATTAGCTGCATCAGACCGAAGTGAACCTTCAGCAGGAATGACTGGCAGACTCTTTGAAAAATACAAATACAGCAGAGCCAGCACTCAAGAGAACCGGGAATGGACTGAATTAAAAGGCCGATCTATTATGCAAGAAACACCAGGGAATTAAGATGCAGGACTAGATGGGATGTGTGCGTGTTTCTGTTCTCACCCAGCAAATCACACGGCCATTGTAACAGGGAAGCTTTGCATTGTCGTCGGCGATTTCCTCCTTGACCACCCTGCAGAGAAAAAAAATCAGAACAGACAGGTCTTGTTTTCCAACCACAGTCTGTGTGCGAACTGCAAAACAGAAAGCTCAGCTTTAGAGATCCCCAGAGTGTCTGGCTGGAAATAAATTAGAATACGTAAATGAGACAATGCCATTAGATGAAAGAAAGGATGGGTTGGATCAGAAAGGCATAAATCAGATAAACATGCACACACACGTGCTCACAGAACACACAAAGGACTGAACGCAGGGAGACTCCAGCAGATAAGATCCCAAACTCATGAATTCAAAGATATTTCAGCTGTACAAGATGTACCACTAGAAAGATGAGTTTGCGAATCTGTATGAAAAGACCTGTTTGTTCAAATATCATATGTAAAACTAGCACAAGCTTACATCATTTACAACCAACAAGATTGTAACATGACACTCTGAAACAGATCATTTAGATTCCACTATCAGTTTGTAAAACATATACATAAATGCCATGAGGCAAACAATAAATCAGGTTTCCCACTCTTTATGACCATTACCGAGTTTGCGAATCTGTATGAAAAGACCTGTTTGTTCAAATATCATATGTAAAACTAGCACAAGCTTACATCATTTACAACCAACAAGATTGTAACATATCATTTAGATTCCACTATCAGTTTGTAAAACATATACATAAATGCCATGAGGCAAACAATAAATCAGGTTTCCCACTCTTTATGACCATTACATTTCCATGACTTCTTAATTGTATTTATTTTATTCCTATACAGGATATCAGGTACCAATGCTTGAAAATTAAAAGCACAAATATTCCATGCTTGCTCTGAATTATCATATACACTCTCGTGCAAAACTTTCATTTAGCAAGGATGCATTAAACTGAAAGTAACAAAAAGGAGTTTTACACTGACACAAAAGCTTTCTATTTCACTGTTCTTTTGAACTTTCTACTCATACAAGAAATCATGGTTTCCCAACAAAACAAAAAAATTCTACACTGATAATAATCATGAGCAGCAAATCAGCATATCACACTGATTTCTGAAGGATCACGTGACACTGAAGACTGGAGTAACGATGCTGAAAATTCAGATCTGCATCACAGGAATAAATTCCTTTCTAATTTATTAAATTAGACAACCCCTATTCTGAATTGCAATACTATTTCACAAAATTAGTTTTTACTATATTTTTGATCAAATAAATGCAGCCGTGGTGAGCATAAGAGACCTCTTTTTAAACATATAAATAAATCTTACTGACTATAGTTTATGTATAGTATAGTTGGATCGTGCATTATAGTATGTCAACTAGTTTCCAAAAGTGAAATATCCTTTACAAACCAAGGGACGAGTCAAAATTATTTTCTGTGGTATTCAAAACCATGCAACAGATGCTTAATATTTTAAAACCAGATTATTTTGTTATTCTATACTACCCGTTTTTAACAAACTACCCATTTTGATGTGCACTGCACACAGAAAAAAAAAAGTATTCATTTACAAACACTCTAATCCAATAACGGCATTTAAAAATGTGTAAAAAGACTCTTTGTTGTGTTGACAGACATGTAAAACATCTATAGAGACAGATTCAATTGAGCTTATAGTATGTCAACTAGTTTCCAAAAGTGAAATATCCTTTACAAACCAAGGGACGAGTCAAAATTATTTTCTGTGGTATTCAAAACCATGCAACAGATGCTTAATATTTTAAAACCAGATTATTTTGTTATTCTATACTACCTGTTTTTAACATAAACTACCCATTTTGATGTGCACTGCACACAGAAAAAAAAAAAGTATTCATTTACAAACACTCTAATCCAATAACGGCATTTAAAAATGTGTAAAAAGACTCTTTGTTGTGTTGACAGACATGTAAAACATCTATAGAGACAGATTCAATTGAGCTATTCATTTCCATTTGGCAGAAATCTGAGGCTGCCCTTCAATGACAAACATCTTTAAGCTTTTAAGGAACTTTTTTGAAGGGGAGTTAAAGGGAGGGGAACGGGACGATCAAACTACGACATATTTCACTGGGGAAGGTTGTAAAGCTGCCAGCGCTGAAGCGATCAGGGCATTCCACAGTCACTGCGTGCAGTTGTTCCAAGTCAACATTCTTTGGCCTAATGCAACAGACAGACCAGACAAGACCACTAGCCAGCGCTCCAAATGAGACTTATTCACAAGCTAGGGGTTAGTTTAAAGATACAGGTAACACTATATCTAATGCACTTTTAAACCCCAACACACAGCATTTCCAGTTACTTCAATCAATGTACAAGTAACTATTGGCCCATCAAGCACAATATATTGTAATAATGCCGATATATAAAGAAAAAGCTCAAAAAAGTCCATTCGTTTTCATGACCTTTCGAACTAGTCGTGATGATTGACAAATGATTTCTTATTTTATTTATAAGTCAATCTAGAGATATTGCTGGCCAGATTTTAATTCATCTGTTTGATGATCATACTGTAATATATGAAATACACATTATCTCCAATAAGACATTCCAAACACTACCTTGCAAGCACGTTTTACTCTTGATTTCTTATTTTATTTATAAGTCAATCTAGAGATATTGCTGGCCAGATTTTAATTCATCTGTTTGATGATCATACTGTAATATATGAAATACACATTATTATCTCCAATAAGACATTCCAAACACTACCTTGCAAGCACGTTTTACTCTTTACAAGCACTCACGAGGAGTAATATCCAATCAAGTATGTTTAAACACAAAGCAAGGCTTGAAAAAATTCTATTTCTTAAGTATAATTTCCATGCTGTACCTCACTTTAAAATCCCCTGTCACCCGCCAGTTGACTTTTTTTTGTTAATCCCGTTCTTTCTTTGCTTCCTTGCCTTCCTCCGGAGTTCCCAGGAATCTCTATCAGCGCGAATACTCCACGAGCTGATGGGTTTGAAAGGCGATTAATGACCCATACTCTTATTCACTGCGTCCCGCCTGTTGAGAACGGAGGATAGTGCGTGAAATGTGTGATACAGACGCTTATTTTAGTCAGGAATGCCGTGGCTCCTCGGAGAGCTTCCCTGTGCTCTCCTTACAGAGGGTTTTGTATTGCTTTCATTGACGCCGAATGCCCGAGGAAACGCGCTCCCTCTAGCGGTGAGGGGTGGTAGCTGTGGAAAAAAAAGTTACTTGGGGTCATTCTACTGAAAGGATGCCATTTGGAGAGAGGGGTAAACGGGGTCGCTTACCTACTTTGTCCTCTAGGCAAGGAGAATGCATCTAAATATATTTCAATGCCTAATATCAACTACATACAGCTAAAAAACAGCACTTCTGAAAAAAAGGTGTTCCAGTGACACAACATGCCCTGAGTAAAGTCATGAAGCATGTCATTGAAGTACATAGGAATCATTTCAATTCCGAATAAAGATGATAACACAATAACTGTTCAAGTAGTAGTTACAATTTAAGCGTTATCCCTTTCTAAAATCTTATTTTACGTATCAGTCAACTTTACGATAATGTATCAATAAAAAAAGCAGAATAGCAGAAGCTTAGAATATTTCAACGTAGTGAAACTTTATTTTTTATATATATATATATATATTTCGGTTTCTACTAGCTAGACAAAACATTTATAAAATCCTTTAGTTGACTAAAATAAAATCTAAGACATTATTATTCCCCGTAATCAAAATTTTTGTGAACAGTGCTGGGTGGATTACTTACAAATCGTTGTCTGTTACTGATTACAAATTATGATGAAAACTGTAGTCAGTAGTTTCATTTAGATCACTCAATTTAGCGAATGCGTTTTGACTACTTTTAGATTTCTTATTATGGCCTAACATTTGAATGGGATTATTGTTATTAAAGAGAAATCAAATATATTCCATTTTTTGTGAAATGCATTAAACATTGCATTACTTAAAGGTTGAAAAATAACTATTCTGAATACGAGCATTTTAAAATGTAATAGAATCTAATTACAAGTGCTACGTTTTTGGAATCTGATTGCGTAATTCAGATTACACGTAATCAGTTACTTCCCAGCACTGTTAGTGAAATATGAAAATTAACAACCGTAATGAATTTTGTTTCATAAAAACAAAATATATGAAGATAAAAGCTAGCATTTTCTTATATTCCCTCTTATTTGTTTTTGCGTTTGCTGGTACACATCTGCACAATCTACCACACCTTAATGAAACCATTTGCATCTCTTGATAAAACCCAACCTGTATATAGATCACATTAAAGTAGGTTAGATCAAATCAGAGACGATACAATGACTTGACCTGGTTTATAATCACTGTGGTTTGCAGGCAGATTTGTCTTCTGTATCATATAGCACTGCCAAGTCACATGGTGATAACACCAGGGAAATGCACACAGGCATTATTCACATCAAATGCTCATAATTTCCCAGAATGTCCTTTAAATGTAACTTTTTTCACACAGTGTAATTTGTGGATTTCCCCTCGCGTTTTTCAGGTGTACAGAAAACTGTCAGATCTTTATTCACTGTAATATATTTTATTCATACCCGTGATGTGCAATCCTATAATCCAAGAGACTGCGAAATATTTGTCAGGTGGCCATATATCAAAAGGGTCATGGCTATCTGAGATATGCACATGAGAAAACTCATTTGTAATGCTAAAAACGACGCAAGTGAAAAGTGGAACAACTATTTCTAATGTGGAAACTGAGAAAAGTTTGGACTACTTACTTTTTATGCCGTGTACCTCAAAACATTTAAACTGATTTTCAAGAGACCAAAAAACATCCACACACACAAAAGACAAGACTGTTAAGCAGAAGGTTTTATTTATAAAAGAATGCAGTGCAGATTCACAAATCTCGCAGAAAACAGCATCTGGAAGAGAACAACAAGAAATATTAAGCCACAGGAACACAGCATGAACATATGAATGCTGAAAATCTAGCAATGTGCACAGCTCTACACTGTAAAAAAAAAAAAATTACGGTAAAAAACCGGCAGCTGTGGTTGACGGAATTTCACTGTAAAAAATACGGTAGCAATGTTTTTTAAACTTAAATTTACAGTTAAATACCGTAATTTCATTAATTACGGTAAAAAACCGGCAGCTGTGGTTGATGGAATTTCACTGTAAAAAATACGGTAGCAACGTTTTTAAAACTTAAATTTACAGTTAAATACCGTAATTTCATTAACTGATATAATGTTAATATACCAACCTATTGAAGTACTGAAATCTGTTTTGTACCTTTGTAATACACTGATAACCACCAAATGCAGGAGGTGATGAGAAAGTCACATGATGAACCAAAGCCCATCACAAGCAGCTTTTAAATAATAACATGTATAGAAGGTGCACAGTGTCATTCACACAAACACTAAACACCATCACGGTAACACACATGAAACTGAAATAATGCTATAAACATTCATTTAACAACATTAGGTGTAACACACAACCCTAATATACAAAACTGATAAGAAGAAACAGTTATTTCAACAAAAAAACAAAATTTTAAATGTAACGCAGGGAATGTCAATTTACGGTTATTCACTGTAAATTATACGGTCTTTTTCACTTCCAAAAACGGTATACTACCGTAAAATTAATGTCTAATACAGTTTTTCACCGTATATAGTAGGGGAATTTACCGTTAACCATTTAACAGGTTTTTACTGTAGCATTTTTACAGTCTTTTACCGTTAAATTCACGGTCATTTTTTACAGTGTATAAAACAAGTCAGCCCCTTACTGAACTCAAATTCATGCACGCAACACTTCTGCAAAGCAGCAAAAGAGGGAACCGTTTTAAAAATCGTTGGCAAAACTCACCTCACACGCCACTAGTCCTTGAATGCTGGGTAATTTACCTCCACTAGAAAGGATCACTCCTTGGTGAATATAGACCCTTTATAATAGACAGGATGACACGGAATTAGCATTAAGCTTTGCATTTTTATGGATTACATCATCATGTAGTAAAATGCATCATCAATCGTTGATGTCCATAACATGACACTTTTGAAAGGCACAGATGTTAACGCCTTTCATCAGCCACCTCATGCATTAATGTCTGCCCTAGTTGACACCACATTCATCTGAACAGCAATGAACAGGTAACACATAAGGCATGCTTAGCTGTAGTAAAAACACTTAAGAGCATTGAAAATGTTCATAGCTGCATACCAGGTGTCATGTAACCCTGACCCTGCAGGCCTGCTCACCTGAAACGATAGAATATGATTGTTAAAGCATGCACACAAATGATCAAGTCGTGAATGTGGATAATTGAGAACGCTGTTCTTGTCATAGCACAAGCAAGAGGAACAATTAGAGTGTTCTCTCATAAATTAGACTATTTCAAGATTTATTGTGCGCCTTAGTTGACACCACATTCATCTAAAGGAAAATGAATGGGCAACACAAAGGCAAGACGGAGAAGCGTGTATCTAGTATAACTTGCCTTCTAATGGAACTAGCTTCACTTTATTCTATTTTTTCAATAACTGTATTTAAAATCAGCTGTTGATGCAAATTCTTACCTAATGTAGATTCACACCTCATGGGGTCAACACGTGACACGGTGCACCAGCCATTTCCTGCTGCTTTCAATGCAATGCTGGGGGGAAATAATAATCATAATAATAATATCAGCAAATGATGAACTGTACTTGCAAAAATGAAAACCACGAGAGCAACAATACTCTTTAATAATCCAATGCTGAGGTACGTTCAATTGCGTATTTAATAGAATATTCCAAGCTGCTCAAGAGTCACAGATAAGGCATTTTTAAATGTGACAACAGAAAGATTTATTTGCACATCTCAGCTGACGAGTATCTAAAATAAACGGGGAATATGTGAAGAACGACGCCTGGACAGCATTCAACGGGCTACTCCACAAACGAAATCCTCCGTTTTCATAATCGTACCACTGAAAGTAAACATTTACTATAAAACCTGCTCATGCACAAATAACATTCACTACTTACTTACCCACATGCTACACAATGAAGCCGTCTTTACCGCTTTAAGAGCGCATGGTGACACTCATCTCCACGTGGACACGCAACCAGAAAAGTCCTTCAGGAGGAACGAAGGACCCAGTGTAGGCGACTGAGAAAGTGCCTGAGCGCAATTACTTGAACGTGCTTCCTCAACCTACACAAGCAAGCGAAGTTTATACACCTACTTATTCATCATTATAACTATTCTCCACATTTTATAAATAATGCATTTGTCTAGATTACAGCTCTGCACACGGTTCACTCTCTCAACCAACTGAGGTCTTTGTAAATGATATATTCTGATTTTCCAGTATAATCCATAAAAAATAAATAAAATAAAATTGTTAATAATTTCAAAAGTAATTATAGGCACGATTTATATATATTTTCTAAATTTGTATTTTATAATCCATAAAAAATAAATAAAATAAAATTGTTAATAATTTCAAAAGTAATTATAGCCATGATTTATATATATTTTTTATATATTTGTATCTTATATTCCATAAAAAATTTATAAAATAAAATTGTTAATAATTTCAAAAGTAATTATAGGCACGATTTATATATATATTTTTATATATATTTATATTTTATAATCCATAGAAAATAAATAAAATAAAATTGTTAACAATTTCTAAAGTAATAATAGGCACGATTTATATATATTTTTTTTATATATTTGTATTTTATAATCCACAAAAAATAAAATAAAATTGTTAATAATTTCAAAAGTAATTATAGGCACGATTTATATATATTTTTTTATATATTTGTATTTTATAATCCACAAAAAATAAAATAAAATTGTTAATAATTTCAAAAGTAATTATAGGCACGATTTATATATATTTTTTATATATTTGTATTTTATAATCCATAAAAAATAAATAAAATAAAATTGTTAAGAATTTCAAAAGTAATTATAGTCACGATTTATATATTTTTTATATATATTTGTATTTAACACAATTTCATACAAGTTAATTCTAACAGAAAAAGTACTTTAGAATAAAAATCGTATACGACTAGAAAATAATTTTAAGGCTTTAACCTTGAGCAGTCAGCACGGGGTCGGTGAAGGGTCTGTAAACAAGACCACAGACACTGACAAAAAAAAATAAGAATCTGCTTAAACTATTAGAACGAGATTTTTAACGTTCAAATCTGAATTAACATTAAAATGACAGTCTGGCCAAAAATAAAAAAACCGCTATCACTATTTAATGTACCCTCATGTCACGATTCACGTAACATAAAAGATATTTTGAGAAATGTCCCATTATTTATTTATTTATTTTTTTTGTTTGTTACTAAGAGTCACGGGCTGACCGTCAAGGTGGGAATCATGAAAAACGTTTACAATTATACCAGGAAAGTATATAAAATAAAATAAAAAGAGTTATTTGCATTTGTATTTAATAACACTCTCAACGGCTAAATAGCGATCCTACTTTTAACATGCGGGTACGATGGTAGGACTTTTATTTTGAAACTCCCTGGTTTCGCTGCCATCTTGGATCCGAATTAAGTTGATCTCTTTTGTGGCTCCTGTCAAAGCGGAACTGAAGGTCTGAGATCACGAACACAGAGACACTTCCGGCTCCTGTCAGACCTCGACCTAAAGAAACACAAACGTTCAAACCCCCTTTAACACGATCTGAGCGAATAACTGCGCTACAACACAAGGGTAAGCAGCTAATGAGTGTTCATGTCTGTAGTTATATGCGTGCTAAAGATAATCAACCAGAGCCAGCTGCTGTGTAACGTTAGTGTTGCTTGACATGCGAGCTCAAAACGTTATGTTTATCAAGTTAGCTGTTTGGTTGAGTAGTTGAACTATACTGTCACTTTTTGAGACACTCCCACTGTTATTTCAAACTGTATAAAAAGCTCTATTCCAGTGGTTTGTTATGTTTATCTCTGAACTAGCTTCATGCTAGGAATGTGGAGCATTATAACGGACGGTGGCCCTGTCTGTGAACTACTGATTATCTGTGTTACCCTCGCATTATATTATATACACTCTCGCACAGCTGGGATTGCACTGTGCGCATTCGGACTCTGTGCTCTTAGATAAGAGAGAAATAATGGGATTGTGTTTGTATTATAGCCTATAGTCTTCCTCTCCTTGTGCTAATGCCAGTGTATGCTCTGAAACATGAGCTGGCCTTAGTTTAGTTTGTTTATATCAGTGCCAGATGTCAAAGCAGGGTTGTATTTAGTTGATGAGTCAGTTATGAGTGTGCCATAATGGATGTAATGTTGTGTTGGGGTCACATTCCTCAGCTTTTGCTTCATTCACTCATGCATTCACTCTGTGTTTAGATGAAGGAGTGTTTGGAATGAGGAAGGGTTTCCGTGGGCTTGTTCTGGAATTCTGTGTTGCTGTTGACCTGAGCTCAGTCTTTTAATGTACTTTTTTTGCAATCTTGACTGTTTTTTTCTCCCACCTTTTCAGGAAGAAATGGCTAACTTCTATGAATGCATGTTTCCACCACAGGATGAAAAACAAATAAATGTGATTTAGTTTTTTGTTTTTTTACGTCACAATTCATCCATTTCTCTCATAGTTTTCCATTTTAATTTTTTTTTATTCCACAGTGGAAACCAAAAAACAGAACTGTGATATGTAAACTCCAAATTCTGAGAAAAAAAGTCAAAATTTCAAGATATATATATATATATATATTAGTGCTGTCAAACGATTAGTCGCGATTAATCGCATCCAAATTAAGAGTTTTTGTTTACATAATATATATGTGCATTCTGTGTATATTTATTGTGTGTATATATATATACAAACACATGCATGTATGTATTTAAGAAAAATATGTTATGTTTATGTATTAAATATATTTATATATAATATAAGAATATAAATATATACATGTTAATATTTTCAAAATATATACAGTATGTGTGTGTATTTATATACATAATAAATATACACAGTACACATACATGTATTATGTAAACAAATGTTTTTAATTTTGGATGCGATTAATCATTTGACAGCACTAATATATACTGTATATATAAATTCTTCTGATTTTTAGCTACAATTTATGGAATCCAATTTCCACCAAGGGATATATGGAATTATTTATATATATATAATAAAACAAAAAACTAAAAATAAAGTTAATTGTCTAAATGCAATGTTATTGATCTTATTGTGAATAATTCAACCATGCATATTTAATTTTTTTTAAGTTGACCTTGTAATTCTTAAACGAAATGTCATAATTCAATCTTCCGGTCAAACATCAGACTTTTGTTGGACTTTCCCGATCATTTAGTCCGTTTAAACCCTGCTTCTCTTTTTACAATTATTACAATACGTAAGAAAATGTCTTAGAAATCATTCTAGTATTTTTTTATTATCAGTGTTGAAATTTTTGTGGAAACGGACACGTTACTTTTTATAAATAGAAAGAACGTTTATTTGAAATATTGTCACTTTTAATCAATTTAATGCATTCTTGCTGAAAAAAAGTAGTAATTTCTTAATAAAAAATAAAATGGAATTATTGAACGGTACTATTTATACATAAAACATTTTGTTTTCTGTTGTGTACCTTTCATGCTCACTTGAAATGTGTGTCTAAATGAAGTAGTTCCCACAAAAGCTGAAGTCCTTCTTATTGTATCAGCCGACAGGCCTGTGCGTGTGTACGCTGATGGCATCTTCGACATGTTCCACTCAGGACATGCCCGCGCTCTCATGCAGGCTAAATGCCTTTTCCCAAACACTCATCTTATTGTAGGTGGTAAGTAATCCTGAGCGCACAGTGTCTGTGGAGTTCTTGAACTGTTTATCATTCTGATCATTTAGCACAGAGTCCGTCTGTATTTAGTGCCTCTCTCTCTGCAGTGTGTAGTGATGGCCTCACACACAAGTTAAAGGGCTTCACCGTCATGAACGAGGATGAACGCTATGACGCGATCAGTCACTGTCGCTATGTGGACGAGGTGGTCCGGAATGCTCCGTGGACTCTCACGCCCGAGTTCCTCACCAAGCATCGGGTAAGACGAAAGAGAACTGAGCATTAGTATAATACGTATATTAGTGTTGGAGGAAGAAAGTAAAATGGGAAGCAAGGGGTGAGCCAATTAATTGTGTCTTTATGTAATGAACGACTGTGTTTTTTGATACCTAAGATTGACTTTGTGGCCCATGATGATATCCCATACTGCTCAGCTGACAGTGATGATGTTTACAAGCACATCAAAGAAGCAGGTGAGGACAACAGCTTCAGAAAATGACCTTTATGTGTTTTTGATGCCGAAATCAATCTCTGCATCTGAAACTTCAGAGTATAATATATAATATATTTATATTTTTGACATGTGGCCAAGTACGGTGACCCATACTAGGAATTAGTGCTCTGCATTTATCCCATCCTAAGTGCACACACACAGCAGTGAACACACACACACACCGTGAACACACACCCGGAGCAGTGGGCAGCCATTTATGCTGCGGCGCCTGGGGAGCAGTAGGGGGTTTGGTGCCTTGCTCAAGGGCACCTCAGTCGTGGTATTGAAGGTGGGAGAGAGCGCTGTACATTCACTCCCCCCACCTACAATCCCTGCCGGTACGAGACTTGAACCCGCAACCTTTGGGTTACAAGTCCGACTCTCTAACCTATAATAAATGAAGAACTTATTAATTTAAAGGTGAAATATGCAGATTCTACACTACTACAAAAATAAAGCAAATACCACTATGATTAATACTTACAATATCTTGACATTTTATCTGGGGCTTGACGGTAAAGAGCTAACATGTGTGGCAAAACTTGAGCTTACTTGTCGAGAAGAATCTCGATTGAAACCCAAACAATGGTTTTACTCCATTGTCTGTCTTTGTGTATTTAAAGTCTTTGAATTTTGGCTAGCACTTCTGTAAATGAATCTGAATTTTTTCTCCCACATTACGCGTCAGCCATGATCCCATACTGGCTGAGCACCCTCTGGCTCCGCCTGCTACAGTAGCCACACCCCCAAACTCTTGCTATTGGTTGAGCAGGAAGGAGATTGTCAAATCTGAATGGACCACACTAAAAATTTCTCACTGCAAAAAAAAGGCTTATCTTACATAGTATTTTTGTCTTATTTCCGGTCTGTAATTTGTAAGATAAGCCTTTTTTTGCAGTGCTGTGGTGCCTGAGAGGCTCAATATTTACACTTTTAGGGAAGATAAACCCATGAATGGCAAACTTATAGTAGTTAGTTGGCAATAAACTGGGTTAAGAGAATGTATTTTGACAAAACATTCGTTGGTCGATTAGAAACTAAATGTCCTTGTTCTTAACTGGTGTGCTAATCTTTAAAACCTTCCACAGGAATGTTCGCACCAACCCAACGGACAGAGGGCATTTCCACCTCTGACGTCATCACGCGCATCGTACGAGATTATGACGTCTACGTCAGACGGAATCTTCAACGTGGCTACACCGCAAAAGAGCTTAATGTCAGCTTCATCAATGTGAGCGTTCATTCGTTTACTAGTAGAAAATGGTCTCAAGATTAAGATTCGATACCAGAAATGAGATTTTCTTAATCAATGTGTTGCTGTGCATTATTACCGACACACAGGAAAAGAAGTACAACCTTCAGGAGCGTGTGGACAAGGTGAAGAAGAAGGTGAAGGACGTGGAGGAGAAGAGTAAAGAGTTTGTGCAGAAGGTGGAGGAGAAGAGCATCGACCTGATCCAGAAATGGGAAGAGAAGTCCCGCGAGTTCATCGGCAACTTCTTGCAGATGTTTGGACCGGAGGGAGCATTGGTGAGTATCTCTTTAACAATAGCGATATCCTAAAACTGGAAACTCTGCGTCCTGTCTTCATATGTGACTGAGTTGGAATGCTCTATGCCTCTCGCCACTCAAAATTGCACATCAGGGATGCGACTCTTGGTTGATTCCAGAATAGTTTGATGTTGTTACACTAATGATGCAATATTCTTTTAAGCATAAAACTACACATTTTAGGTAAAATATTGGACCACAAATTGGACCACATACGTAAACAACATATGCAACGTGGATATGTTGTTTATGTTCAGATCAAAGAGTAAACAAGGTATGTAACATATCTGCGTAAGGTGCTGCTGACACAGAACAGCATACATTGTTTACGTATGTGATACTCTCCAAAATGGTGCTATAGGGTGACGCGGAGGAGACGAATTGTTGAATAAAGTCGTTATTTTTGTTTTCTTTGCGCACATAAAGTATTCTCGTAGCTTCGTAAAATTACGGTTGAACCACTGATGTCACATGGATTATTTTAACAATGTCCTTGCTACGTTTCTGAGCCTTGATTGTGTTAGGATTCTTGCTGTCTATGGAGAGTCAGAGAGCTCTCGGATTTAATCAGAAATATCTTAATTTGTGTTCTGAAGATGAACGAAGGTCTTACAGGTTTGGATCGACATGAGGGTGAGTAATTAATGACAGAATTTTCATTTTTTGGGTGAACTATCCCTTTAAGACAAAGAGGTGATACAATTGTGGTGTATCTTTTTGTTATTAGTGTAAAGTCAACAATCTCCACATACACTGTAAGTTAGGGTTTAATGAAACTGCTCCGAAAAATGTATGAACCTGTCAATTTCAATAATAGTCAGCTGTTGTGATTTGATGTTCTTAGCTGATGAAAATTGCAATGTTTGTTGATTTGAGTCTTATTTGAAGAATATGTTAGCATGTGTACAAAGATGCTGCATACCAATTTACAACTTGTTGGATCATATGGTTGTGGAGTTAACATTTTTGATAACATTGGCAGATATAGGTCATTTCATTAAAAATGGGCATCGTCTGACCAATTTATTCACTTATTCACAATGCTTTGATGAATGTCAATCATTTTAAAGACTTTTTGTCATGATGGTCTGAGGATGATGTGTGCCACGTTTTATGGGAATCAGACCAACAGCCTTGGAGGAGTTCAAAAAAGTAGATTTTTTTGTGTGTGTGTGTGGAAAATGCAATATGGCAGTTTTTTTTTTTAATACAAATTTAGTTGTCAGTGTTGAACGAAACTGGTAAAGCTAGCAATGCTAAGGTCAGTGGTTTGATTTCCCAAGGAACACATTTTTTCCCCCAACTGCCTTAGCCCAGAAAAATACACAGTGCGAGTACATGAAACTAAAAGCTTCTAGTTATGTAACTTTGCATTTTATTTGCTCTGTGCAGTGTTGCATGTTGTCGCTGTGTGAAATGTGTCGGAAAGCAATTTATAACTTCGCAAAACCATTCATGTTTGCTCTGTTCAGACTGCAAAAACCCCAAAATGAACATTCAAACCTTACTTTCTTCTGTGAAACTAAGCTAACTGAGACTTGTTTTAGCACTTGCATATCATTGCTCTTTTCTTGATTTTGATTGCTTCCATTGTCCTCATTTGGAAGTTGCTTTGGATAAAAGCGTCTGCTAAATGACTAAATGTAATGTAATTATGAATGAGAACCCTGTTTTTTAAATGAAAATAGCAGTTGTTAATGGAACAAATTAAAATAAGAAATAAAATAAACGTTTTAGCTTATTTTAAACCGGGTTTAATCTTATTTTAAATTAATTTAAGCCATCCTGCGGCCTTCTGGTTGAGAAGCACTGTTTTAAAGTCATGAATCTAAAAATGAAAAGCCATTATGGCCTCCTCAGGTATCAGTAGCTATGTTTCCATCCACCTATTTTTCACAAATACCCATGACTCCACTCAAGGTCTCTTATAGGCTGTGTGTTGTTCTTCCTCTCTAACAGAAGCACATGCTGAAGGAAGGAAAAGGGCGAATGCTTCAGGCCATCAGTCCGCGGCACAGCCCCAGCAGCAGTCCCACACGCGAGCGTTCCCCGTCTCCAACCTTCCGTCTGCCCTTCTTCACCAAAACCTCCCCGCCCTCCTCGCCCTCGTCCCATCACAGCAGCGCCCTGTCCGGCTACACCTACGCTGCCCGCGGGCTGGCCATCAGCGAAGACGAGGAGGACGATGAAGATTAGAGTGCCACAGCGCACCACGCATCCGTCTTCCAATACTGGCAATCCAACCTCAGAAACGAAGCAATCCTTACACGACCCATGGGTTTCGCTCTCTGTATTACTAACACACACAAAGGGTTCAAATGGAGCGATGTCTAGAACGTTAGTGACGGAGTCG